TAATCTCCTTTATTTCTGGTGCATATATGGACTCGCATCTTGTGTCTCTATGGTTACCCGTCGTGAAGACGGACCCCTTCTTGCAGTTATGGCATCTCTTATTGTTGGTGTGCTTAATGGCATGTCTCCTTCTCTTAAAAAAGTACGAAGTTGGCATTTGATATGGCTCTGGAGATCAACTCCGGGCACGTGGCTAGCGGAGGGATATTTCACGCAGAATATTACTCCGATGGATTATCTGTATGATATTGACACGGCGAAGAATGCGGTCGGGTATGATTTGGATCACTTTACTCTGGATATGCTTATGCTGCTTGCGTTGGGAGCGGCATATAGAGTTATTGCGTTTGCGGGACTGAGGGGATGTATAGACATAAACAGAGATAGAGGGGAGATTTGAGAGGGGGTGATTGTGGATAAAGAGATGGTTATGAATTGGGCTGTATATACTTAGGAGTTTTGGCGCGAGGGACCGGGAATACATATTGTATCGAGTACTAGAGTACTAGGTTCATTGGAATTTTAGAATACCCTTTCATCTAGAGGCGTGTTGATACAAATATATAATATAATGCAGCACCTTATTCCGAAAATGGCGTGATTGAATTCTGGTGATTTCTAAAAGGAGAAGGAAAGGATTTAGTTTAGCTTCATTATACTCTTACTTGGGGAATAAATTTCAGGTAGTCATGAATGCAGACTCTCGAAAACGATTTTCCTAGCCTCCCTATGCGTTTGTTTGGTGGAGCTATTTATGGATATTTCTTCACTGCTGTTGTTTTGGGGGTTGTACAAGCATCCATATCAAAAACATGGATACTATTTTGATCATCGATGGAATTTGAATTAACAGGGCTTGCCACTTCACGTTGGTGAGTAAGAGATTACAACTAAGGAAGAACCTTTGAGGAGAGACTCGCGTCAATCAAGACATTCCTTTTTACAATCCGGTTTTGGTCCAGATCTCGAGAGCCAATTTTTACCGTCTCGTTCCAATTCACCACCACAAAATACCAACCGTCATTCATTCTAATCATTGCCAATTTCCTTCGCCGTTGGATCAAACCAAAATTGATTGTTAATTCTCATCTCTTCTCGTTCCAAAAATTGAGAAGATATATAGTTGTATCATATATCTCGTTTACAGGTGATAGCAGATGTACTAAAGGGTTAGAAAACACATGAGCTGTGTGTAATCCTGTGCCCTCAACTCTATTCTTGTTTCGGGAGCTTGAGGATCTGGAATAGAGATTAAGAAAGGGAGTTTATATAGTATTGTTGTATGAAAGCTCGTGAGGGCTGAGATGGGGTGTGAATAAAGGTACTGTGAGATTGGAGCCTAGAGTGAATTGTTAGGCTATTCGGCGAGGAATATGTGGACTGAGGATCGCTGTTGCTGTTGTTGTTACGATGATATGTAAAGGGGTGATGGAATCATGAATTCTTCTGTAGATGGTGTATAGACATCGAAATAAAGACTGATTAGAGTGCTTTGACATTCTGGCGTTTCGGCTAGAATATAATTTGTTCTCAGGGGAAGCTCTGTGAATTGAGACACACGATAGGGTATAGTACATTGGCCGATATATTTATTTTTATTGTTTTTGTTAAACTTTGTCGATGGCTGATACCCGCGGGATTCTTTAAGCTTCACTGCATCTCATTTCTTGTCTATATAACTACCAAGTGGTGATGGCAAGATAACTAAACTTGAAGTAATACGAGACAAGACCCAAGAATTCATTTCGTGCGTATGGTTCCAAGTCATTGTTGAAGTTGAGAATACTTACTGGCTTCGGGGGCTGCTGTATTTGGGCGATCAGGGGGTGGGTTTGGTGGTCTTCTGAAGGAATCAGCAGCAAAAATAATGAGAATCCACTGTAGTCTATATAATAACAGTGAAAATTAATTTTTCATAAGAAGGAAGGACAAAATTGTGCTTCGGGCTTGTCCAGAGTTTCATAGTTTTCTTATCACAATGCGGTGTCAATAGACCAGCGATATCTGCCACGTATCGAGGATCTGGCTGCTCTATTTCGGACGTGGTACGAACGTTTGTATAGAGATGAGCGAGGTAGAGGGAGGAGTCAGGATTAAGTAGTGGCCTAAGTTCTAATACGGGATAAGGAGGAAACACATCCAGGAAAGAGGGAAATGGAGGAAGTACGGGGTAGTGAATTATAGAGTTAGTCTATTTCGACTTGCGTTCTATTTGGGAGAACGCTGTAGGACTTTTGGGTTGAGAAGTAAAGAATGAAGTGACAGTCGCAAAGCTCAATTGGATTCTTAAAAGTACTGCGGACTATGACTGTACAAGGATGATAGCAATTCCGGACTTCAAAACTGGTCTTGAATGGGAATACAATTTAGAAATAGGCTTGTATTGTAGGACTATAAGTATCTTGTCGTCATTGTCGAATCTATGTTTTTTGTCACTATTTGAACTTATTACTGTTAGTCATTTAGTCAAACCCTTTGGCAATATTTACATCCCTTGTCCCATGATCCGCACCTCCAACAGGTATGTAAGATACTAGAGCTCGAGACCATTACCAACAATCATAAATTTAGCTCCTGCTATTATGAATCCGAATACACTGCCTTAAAGATAACTTTTATAACCTTGAAAACTATGGAATGTGGCCCGCTTAACAGTCTGAGGAGACACGTCAGTCATCTGCTTGGCTTGTACAACCACAAATCCGCGATCTTGAGGGGAAAATGCGGGGTTATCTTCGATATTTCCTTAATATTGATGCGAAAGATGATGAATTATATCTATCTATTCACTTTGCTTTATTCCGGTGTCAAAAAGAAAATGAATCTGTGATCGGCATCTCCATGGCAGGGTTTGGGGGAAATCGAGGGGGTTCTTTAACCTGAGTATTATGTAATAACGGCTGTGTTCCTAAAGTAAAAGGACAACACAGCCAGCTTTATCAAAACTTCGCAGAATGGCTGGCCTTTCTTCCTGGGGTATCATGATTTGAATGGACCCGCTCACTTGTTGAAAGTAGATAGGTAGTAATCTACATGCCGATACTCGATTTAATTGGTACGCTTTCATCGTATCTCATCTTGTCAAGTCTCTTTTCGCTGACATTGTGGGAGATCTAACATTTATTGTCCCTAATGATAATTTTATTTACTTCAGACAGGAGACCCAAGTCAAAATTGAGCCCAGAGCTTGACAGCCACTGCGCGTTGGTGCTACAAATTTAAGAAACTGTAGAGTGCGAAATCAAAAATTAGCTCAGAGAGATATGTCTCTGGGCCAGGTATGGTTTCTCTCTGGGTTGATGTACCACTTTATATAGAGACCTACTCTTGGATTCGAAAATCAGAATGCGGGGTATGTCTTTCACCCTCCCCTACTCTCGAAGGGATAGTCGATGAATCACATGTCCATCTGCTCCCTTGATGATGATCCGCTGGAAGTGCATATATATATCTAGAAAGAAATCTCAATATAAACTTATCAGTATTGCAGTACAGACCATGCTGAGGTTGGGGTTCAGCTGACATTGAGAGCGCCCATTCATAGGACTGTAGCCGGAGATGTTACCATAGCCTTTGAGTATGGAGATCACAAAAGTGGTATTTGCATCGAAGAATCGGAGAGGAAGGAACCGCTGCAAGAATCTTGGATCGAAGGGGTGAAATTCCTGCAGTAACGGCGGCAATAAGAAAAGACGGTGAGATTATTGCTTTTGAAAGACTTGGTATTTGACAGTAAAATTGTATGGTGATGAAGGTGATCTGAGAACTACCATAAAGGAAGCGTATCTATCGAAAGTATACCATCAATCTACGACCTCGAAGCTTGCTGGATCTCAAATATCCATATTCCACTTTTATCCTATATCCCAGTTCTTACCCATCTAAACAGATTTCCACCTATCGCTCATATTCATCGTCCCCTACTGGAGACTTTTCAGGAACTTCACCACCAAAGCCATAGCCAAGATTTTTCAAAGTTTCGTTCCATACTTTTGGAAACTGTGATACGTTATCTTCCCCCCCATTCGGCCTTACTTATAGCAACGAAATCCATTTCAGTTTAACAAACTAAAAGACACGGAATTCAGCTCAAGCACAATCACTACCCCTTTTTTAATGAGTGAATGCCCCACAAGATGATTCAATACCTCATATGCTTATACAAAGAACAATGAACATTTACCGAGTCATGGACATTAAATAAGTGTACGATACACCCGTTGCAACGACTCAGTAAGTTGTGAATGAATAGGAATAGGCAGCTCAAGGAACTATCAGCTGTCTTTCCTTCAGAACAGGAAATCCTGCCCACGAAGAAACTATCATGTATGATATCGCTACCATCTGAAACAAAAATTGACAACAGGAAAGATGCTAGAAGAGAACGTGGAAAAACGACAATAAACAAAGTAATCGACAAATATCATCTAATCTCATCTCAATCCCAATAATGAAATATCAGGTTAATCTCTGAGAATAGAAGGTTAAAAAGACACATAAAGGGTTGAACGGAATCAGCGAGCACCACACTTGTCTGCCAAGCCCAAATGCTTCCTTGCTTGGATACTCGGAAATCATAGAATCACAGGCATTTTGTGATAGAACTCTCGGACCCCTGAGTGGTACTCGAGTTGATAGGAGGGTTTGAGTGCGTATATACATACATATATCAAAAGTCGAGAGCGTTTAACTGTGGAGTGGAACGAGGAGTTATGGTAGAGAATGATTCATTTGCGACTAGCAAGTAAACCACGTATTCTTGGTCATGGCTTTCAGGTACTCATTTTCAATAGAAAATTTGATGTGCGAGGACACCAATTTGCAGCTTCGAGAATGATTCGGATTCTGCTTCTTCAACGAACTCGGGTGTTTGAGATAAGTGCGCAAATCACTCCTTGATTAAAGAATCGCCAAGTTAGTATCATCTGATAGAGTTTCATCGTTATAAAGCTTCAAACATATCCGATAATATATATATTATTAACACTACACCTCTCACCTCAAAAAGAAATATCCGTATCATCTTCCTCCCCTATCCTTCCATTCCCCCTTTCTTTCTCCTCATCTCCAATTTCAATCCCAATACTTCCACCACCCCCACTAATACTCCTCGGCAGGGTCAAAATCAACCTCTCATAATCACGATCATTCACAATTCTAATTCCCGTCTCCACCACCTCCCTCACATGATCCCTCTCTACCGTAATCGCCATTTTCGGTTTCCTGATCCCCGTCTCTCCATTTCCATTCCCGAGCCCTCTATACTTCCCTTCATCTTCTCCGTCGACCGTATCTTCGACTCCTACTCCCGCGGTCACAGTAGTCGTAACCGTCGGTAAATCGATAGCATCCCTTGCATAACTATAATCATCTGGTTTTGCACCATTTATACCGCATATACTCGTAAACATACGATCTCGATTCGAGAATCCCATATTCTCGGGAGTAGAACGAGGACTGGAAATAAGTGGACGGGGAGAAGTAGGAGAAGGTAGGCCGCTAGTGCGAATTGTGGGGTAGGAACGAGTATGTGAATGGGTATGTGATTGAGAACGACGCGGAAGGAAGGTGGAAGCATTATCTTTGGAAGTTATCCAATGCAGGACCAGAACACTGAAGAGTACTAGGTATATCTATGAGCCTTTTGAGGATTCTCTGGAAAGAGAAGATGAGACAGAGGCTTACTGTCGAGATTACAACACATAAGACATATCCAGCCTGGTTCACCTCTCAGCACCAATAATAACGTCAAATTACTGGGGAAAATATTAGCTATCATCCTAAATGATCAGGAGAAGTTACTTACACGACACTAGAAGTAAGCGCACAACAGCTTCCAATAAAAGTGCGGAGTGCGACGGTACGTGTTTGTGAGTTTGGGTTATTTTTATAGGAGTACAAGCCTATATGAATTAGTTGAAGAGTGATAAGAATTGTCGATGCAGATTTACCTTGTAGTGGAACGAGAAACAAGGATGTTAGGTAGACCTATATATGTTAAGCCGATATTTGACTACAGCGAACACTATGAGCTTACGTTGACTAATATATCGAAGGCCTACCGAATGTTAATAAGCATAATCCTCCATTGGAAACCGAAGGATTAGAATAATAGGCAATAAAATGCCTACAATAAGAGGTATCATCGCGACCTGTTTCATCCCAACCCGACATTCACCGTTTTCATAATTGGCGAATCGGCTTTGGAATCTAAATCAACAAGAGCTCCTTTCCAACAGAGATTTGGAGCCACACTCACAAGATAAAATTCAACGCGATGACTACACAGTAAGGAACTAAAAGGATTAATATTTGGAATATCACATACAAACCAGGTAACTAACTTAGCAATCCAATCGAGTTGAAGAGGTAAAGCGGATCTTTGATGCGTGGTTTTGACGATCGACGAATAATATACTGTTATCTTAGTAAATATAAGAGTAAATAAGGTATGAGCAAACTGACAACCCTTTCAACGAGAAAATAGTAGATAAGCTGCTGGCTTTAGTGAATGTTGCGGTCGCTTGCAGTGGAGAAAACATACTACCTAAAACATCATGTGAGCACAGCTGGCTGGATATATTACTGGGAATTGATGGCTTAGTTCCAACCAGAAAACAGGTCTGATTCCCTGGATTGAGTACTCACTTTGGTCGTCATATAACAAGATAAACATAATATAATAGCATTGGAGCACATATACTGTGAATAATTGACACCAAACCCCGCCGAAACAACCGCGGACCCAAGAACAAATACTAGGGAATCAAAATATATCAAGAGAACCACTGGTCAATTATTTCATCAGTCTCAAATCTTTAATAACAAAATTCTGGTAGATAAACCCTCAAAACTTACACCAACAAACGAGAGGGTATCGAGACCAATCCTGTACATTTTGAACGCGACGAGCTGCATGAGAGCATTAGCATCTTGCAAATCGTGCAGGTTTTTCTATCAGGTAGAGAAACTTACTCATACAAATTGCCAAAACTGCCATTGATATCATAGATAAAATAATTGAGAAAACCGTTCCAGCTCTAGGTTCATTTGCCGATGCCTCCGCCATTCGCTCCATGAGGACTCCCATCTTTGACTTCAAATCTCAATCGAGATACATAACAATGGCGAGTGATAGAGGAATTTTGGAAAAAGGCGATGTACATTGAAGAGGTTTCCATATGTCATATTACTATTCATGTCTGGGTATGTCAAGTTGTTATCCGATTTCCATAATTTGTTATCTTTCGGGTCGATTTATTGCGTAACGCCTGGTCTTAAGTTCGTACGAGGAAAGACATGACGGCTCAATTCAGCGAATCCGATGCGTCTAAACCAAGCCCTGGCTTGCATTATGAGTGCCATGGCTTGATGTTGAACAAGAGGGATGGGACAATCCCACGGCATGCGAAATGAGGTATGTTGAAACGAGGAAGCAAAATACTCGTGTGGAAACAGGGAATGTAAGTAGTACCGAAGAAAGTTCTACAGGTCTAGAAATTCAATCAATGACAGTGAGCAACGTGAATTTGGATTATCTGTCTTCACAGAATACTGTCAAAATCCAGCAAAAGAAAGTGCGAAATTATGTTGTGAAACATGGGATTCGGATACTTGCGTTCAACAAAGCCATTGTGTTGCCAAGTCCCCGAGAATTGCGTGTGAAGTGAGGGGTGAAGAGTTTCTTAAATAGAACAATATGCAACCTACGGGTCGCAAAAAAAAGTAAAAGGTAAAGAGAAGCAGGTCAAACAATCGAATATAATGTAATATGCAGAATCAGATGATATTTTGACAGTTGTTGAAGCTCCAAAAAATAGATACACAATTCATGTCGTGGAATCATCGGAACTTTGCCGATGAATATACACGTGTTGTTCCCAAACACAAGACCACCCACACTTTCAGATTTTCACGGGCGGATGGGAATACTCCAATGTGCGATAACTAATCATTTTCATATATACAGAACTTTATCTTCCAAAATACTCACTATTTATACCCGTGATTATAACCTAGATAGCTGGTATTTTCGGAGTAGCCAGGAGGGGTACTTGTCGGGTCATCTAAACTGATATAGATAACAGCATCTTTCTTTCCCATCTTGATTGCTTTCTTTTCATTTTTTGCAGCTTCCCTTTCTAACTTCTGCAATCTCTTCATTTCCTTCTTTTCCCTTCTTGACAATCGAGGAAACTCACTTCCTTCACCGACTAATATTTTACCAGGATGAATAACATTCATCAATGCAATTGCAATCAACATAGGCAAAGCATCGAGAACCATGAAATACCATTCATGATATGGTATTGGATTCTTGCTTGGATCAAGACCAGCTGAAAATTCTATCAAGCGGTAGACAATTCGTGTAGTGATCAGGGCGAGAGACGTAAACATGATATATAAGAGAGGTCTCCAACCGCGATGTCTTTGATCCAGTATTTGATTGGCACTCACTCCTATAGATCTTTCTCGTTGCTGCATGATGAGCATAAATTTGATGGCAATGGCTGTGAAAAGCAGGATGCAAAATCCTTGGAACCCAATACCGCCCATGTAGATATGGATACCGATCGTTGAAATATTCGAATCGGCGCCGGGAGATACTAGTACACCACCCACAACTATGCAATGGGTTAGAAACAAGCTCTGTTGGTGAATTGAAGTGTCTTACGTTGTGTTATAAAGGATAGCACGTCAAGCCATACGAAGATCTTGGCTATCTGGATACCTTTGATGCCCCAAACCTTCTGATCTGGAATGAAGAAGTAAACCATTCGCCCCAGAACCATATATACAAAGGCATTGACCCACATAGGGGCAAGTAGAACAAGAAGTTGAGATACAGTGGCCAGAGCAAAATTTTGTTGCATCTTTGTACTAGCTGAGCGTATCGCAAAACTCATAAATTCCCACGTACATCCCATAATCAATACCCAACATAGTCTTAGCTTCTGGTGATAAAACGCTTGGAAAATATGAGTTATTGCAACGACGAAGAAAAGTAACGTGAAGACAACTGCGGCGGCAAATGATGGATAAAAATTATAGTTGGCATCTACTATGATTAGCTGTCGATTTCCGGTGAGAAAGCAAGTACATACTGCAAGCCCATTCGGGTACGTAACCATTTTTATCTGGCCTGACGTTGATACATGATGCTGTTGCAGATGCAATTGTGGAAGCACTGCTGGTTATGGTCGTCGTGGAAGACATGACTGCTAGGGATATGCATAACCTGAAAGCAAGTGGTATATTGTAATCGAGACTGGATATAGATGTGGTCGATAACGGGACTCAAAATGGCTGTAAGCCTCATATATAGTTGTCATTTTGAAACGAGATCCAAAGGATAATATTATAGAGTATTTTTAGGACAAACTCAATTTTAACTCCGCCATGAAGCTCTGGCTATGTGAGAGCCGCCATGTAATGAAGAATCGGTGAGACAGTACGTACTTTCATCATAGTAAACGATCCAATTGACAAGACAGCTTCACTGAAAACCCCAGCGGCTTGTGCATGATCCAACGCATTTCCGACATGTGAGGAACTCGTCACCAAGGATGATAAATGGATAAAGGATGAGACCAATTGGTTTTCACGTAAATATGGATAGCGATGAGAACCGTTGCGCTGGCGCAGAATAAACACAGCCTAGCCAGATCCACATGTATCGACGAATTGTCCAATGAAAATGCGACAATGTGGAGCACTAACTCTGCGTCTTGGCATTTTCACACGTGATCCAGGTAACAACTTTGAAGCATTTCGAGGTAGTTGGTTCGAAATTTATTCATCGATAAGTCATGAATGCAGATAACCTCCAAATTAAGTTGTTGCCAACAGTGTCGTTAGAACACCAACGTACTGAATGCTTCTGAGAGCACGTGTTGCCCATTCGCTCTCCATGCTGAGCCATCCCCGGATCCTCTCCCTCCGTTTGCAGGTAGAAATATCTAGACATCGAATTCGACATGAAAAGATAACTAGATTATTTAAATACGTTAGGGAAACACTTCTCGAAGTCTCCAAAATCTTCTGAAACTCACAAACTAAGGGATGGCACAGAACCTTGAACGCTGAATGTCGGTTTGTCCTCTCAAGAATTTTCCGAAGAACAGATGTCGCTTTCTACCGAGGTCTCATCGTATAATGAACCATACCGGAGACTGGTTGAAGTCTGCATCGTTCCACAAGTGTCCCTATTTCTGTTCTTGTACTTCTCTAGGTAGGTAGAAAAGAAATTAGGGTGATTTGAGAGGACTTGGATGGTTTAGAACGGAGACGGCTGAAGCATTTCAGACGCTAAGGAAGATAGTTCCTCTCAAACCCCAATTGCAAATAAATAAATCGACTCACATGCGGCATTTTGATCCTTGAAATTTTATATATACGAGCGGCTCTAGACCTCCAATCATGTCAACCAACAAACACGCATAAAAAGCCCTACCCCTCGAGCGCGGTTTCACGCATCGTTAGACCATCACCAAGAAACGTCAAAAGTGTGAAAGATATACGAACCACTGATCTTCTGATAGAAACATCAAACGATAGTTAGAAAATAAAGTATGATTTAAGCTTCAATACCAAGCTTTATCGCCAAGCCGGGAGTTATTTTGACATATGAAGATTGATGAACGATTGGATTCCTCAGGGATACTACAGTCGGAGCATGAGATAGGGGTCTACTACCGATCGATTCTAGAAGCAGGGTCTTGATGTATTTTTCAGGCCGCAAACGTGAACAAATGAGTGGTAAGTAATTTTATAGTTTGGATTTTGTTGTAACATGATATATATTTATATTCAAGAGATTTACGACTACTGCGAGTCTTCGATCCTTTGTGGTAGGTAGGTAGGTAGGTTGGTAGAACAACTTGCGATATAGCTATATGTATAGCTACTGGGTAGGTACTTGCACAAAACCAGCATCTCTACTAGGTAAGCGATACCAACGAAGGAGCATCTCCATTTAACATCAGTACCAGCACCAACAATACACTCCTAAGTATTTCATTCGCTCATAGTCCTTTCCCACAAATCTTATATCTTCAAACACGAATCTTGACTACCAACCTACTTACCCACCAAATTGAATTCTCCAAACCATCAGTCTGGCTAACTAACATACATTCAGCTAATCACATCATGCGCCACCCCGCAACTCGGCCACCACATGAAATTGCTCGAGCCTCATTCAATCCTTGAAATGCATCGTACCTTCCTCCTCTCCTCTCTAGCCTCAATTGACATCCAATCATTGACTTTGACAGACATATCGAACTACATATTCACGTAAGATTTCAATTTCAAAAAGCAAGGGTCCATTTGGGTACCTACCTAGACAGGTACCACCATAAGCTGCGTTTCATTTCATGAGATACGAAATCTCTCAACCATCATACTAGATACCTCTGTATGAGATCTGAGCTAGGGCTGAAGAAGTATTCTTCCTCAGATTCTTACCTGAATGAATCGGGTTTGTACTCGTTACCTATTCATATATAATGCTGAGGATGACCTGTAATATACTTTTTCGACTGGAATCTGTTCTGATTTGGGTTTCTTTTCTGTGTTACATAGGCGCTATTTACTACCTACTTTTACTTAATTTGCTTTCCTACTTCTCAAATTCACTCGATTTTTGTCGATTCCAATATTCTCTCCATCTAATTCAGTTCGGGGCTCAGCCTGTCTGTTTGCTCTCTTCTTTCACCATTCTATTTCTCTGCTTTCTTCGAGATTACTGCTACATCAACACAAACACCTCCAAACACCCAGTCAGTATACACAACCAGAACATTTTCGGTCTATCTACCTCCTGTCTTTTTGACCGAATAACACAGTTCGAGTCACATCTCAACTCAAACCACTGCAGTCAACAACCACATCCTACCCATTCTACCTCTCAACAACCAATCGTCACCTCCCCTCCCTACCCCAAAAATGACCATCCCAGACCCCGACTCCCCACACATTACCAAAATCCCCCTCGAGACCATCTCCAAACTCTCTCCCTTCTCCGGTCTCATCCTCTCCATAATCCTGATCCTCTACTTCCTCATCCGCTACTACCTCTTCGAACCCCTTCTCCTCCCCTATCTCTACGGCTCCACCTTCACAGCCATGCCCTCGGGCTCCGCCCTGCGCTCTGGCTTCATCAACCACCACATTGCCGGCCTCACAAAGCTGCTCATCCTCATCCTCGCAGCTTATCCCTTCATCTCAGTCACTTTCCTCACCAGTTCTCTACATTCCCCATTCGCACCAGGAAGCGAGGCCACAATGGGAGATGTACTTATCATCGCCGCGCAAATGTTGATCGCAATGTATATATTCGAATTACTGTATCGACCGAAAATCAGTCCGGTGAGTGTGGGACATCATATTGGAACTATTTTGATTGGTCAGAGTGCTATTGCCATAAGTTTGGATTTGGTCAAGGAGAGGGACGCCACGATTGAGTTTATTTTGTGTACGGTTTGGGGTATGTTTTTTCTTCCCTTACACATCTTCACCTGAATCTTCATCTCCTCATCTCCCTGCAACCCCTCCCCTCTCTCCTTCAACTCACTGACATAACCCTCCCCCTACAAAGGAGCCTTCGACATCCTCTCCGAATTCCTCCCCCACCTCACCATCATTCTCTACCGCTGCAACCCCACCTCCCACGCTTTCCTCCGCAAAATC